CAGGGTTGGAGGGGATGGGCTGAGCTGCCTCACTGAAGTCAGGCTGCGGCAGGAACGCGGGGAGGCCCCCGGCCTGAGGCTGCGGGGGCTTCTTGGGGTATACAGTGAACTCAGGCTGTGGGGGCTTGGGAAAGGCACTGACGTCGGGCTGCGGGGAGTGAAGTTGGGGCTCGCCGGACTCAGGCTTGGAGGGGGATGTCTGAGGGGCTTCACTGAACTCAGGCTGTAATGGGGACTTAGGGAGGCCACCGACCTGAGGCTGCGGGGGCTTCTTGGGGTATACAGTGAACTCCGGCTGCGAAGGTTTCTTGGGAGACGTACTGAGCTCAGGCTGTGGGGGCTTTAGAGGAGCCTCACTGGACTCGGGCTGCTGGAACTTCCTGGGGAAAGCACCGCACTTGGGCTCTGAGGGGTGCCTGGCAGGAGTGCTGAGCTCAGGTTTCAGGGGCTTCTGGGCAAGCGCACTGGGTTCTGGCTGTGAGGCCTTCCTAGGGGCCTCGCTGAGCTCAGGCTGCTGGGGCTTTTTGGGCAGTGGAGTGGCCTTGAGCTGTGGGAACTTCCTGGAGAGTTCACTGAACTCAGGTTTGGAGGGCTTCTTGGGGAGGTCAGTGAACTCGGGCTGTGGAGGTTTCTTGGGGAAGTCATCGAATTGGGGCTGCTGGGGCATCTTGGGGAGGTCAGCCAACTCGGGCTGCTGGGGCATCTTGGGGAGGTCAGGGAACTGGGGTTGTTGGGGCTTCTTGGGGAGGTCAGCGAACTCGGGCTGCTGGGGCTTCTTGGGGAGGTCAGGGAACTGGGGTTGTTGGGGCTTCTTGGGGAGGTCAGGGAACTGGGGTTGTTGGGGCTTCTTGGGGAGCTCAATGGACTCGGGTTGTGGAGGTTTCTTGGGGACCTCTGTGAAGGGTTGGGGCTTTTTGGGGAGATCAGAGAATTGAGGCAGTGGAGGCTTCTTGGGAAGATCAGCGAACTCGGGCTGTGGAGGCTTCTTTGGGTGCTCGCTTAGCTCAGGCTGCGGAAGTTTCTTCAGGAGTTTGTTGAACTCGGGCTTTGAGGTTCTCTTATGGAGTTCATTGGGCTCGGGCTGAGATGCCTGGAACTTTGCTTGGAGGCTCCGGAAGTCCTGGTGGCTCCCCTAGGGGACACAGAGCCCACTCAGGCAGGGGTTGGTACACAGGAGGGTCATCGGGAGACCCACAGACTCAGTCGCAGACATACAGGCCCCCCCATGCCTCTTTCCCCCAGGCTTCCGTGCTGGGGCCTCTTCTCTGACCTCAGCCCACAGATCTCTCTTTGGCTGAGAACTCCCTTGGCCCTAGGCTCCTGGACAACTCCACTGAGGTGCCAGATCTGTACCCAATTTCCCCAAGCAGAGTCTGAGCTCCCCAAGGAAGCGAGGTCTGGCCCCCCCAAGGTCCCCCCAGCCTGTGGCCCCCACAGTTGCCCCTCCCCAGTAGCTGGTGCCCTCGGATCATCCTCAACCTGCTGCT